ATTTAACATTTCATGTAAATAAAGGGAGGTAATTAGAAATTTATTTTCTATAAAGTCTTAGTCAAAATTTTCAATAAGAAATGAATGCATATATTTTAATGATTACATATAATGTGCACAAATATTTGCAGTATATATTTTACATATTCTTCGATGTTTGAAAATTGTTTTATAAGCATAATTATAAACATATATAAAATTTCAGTTAAGTGTGGTAACAACCTCAGTTACAACATACAGAATCTTTAAGATGATCGTGATTTATAAATTGTGTTTGGAAAGTATTTATGAGCACATAATTATGTTTAGAACAATTTTATCATGATTAGTCAAGACTTCCTAGTACAAGCATGTTTTATAAACATGATGTGTAAAAAGAAATTCTACATTTGACTCAATAAAAAGTCAGGATTTAAAAGAATTTATTTAAGAGTGCTATTTTTGTGTTAAGTTACACAATGTTGTTAAATTTTCCGAGATGTCCTCTTAAGGATTTTAAGCTCGAAGTTTACTTGACATTCAGCATGTGGTATTGACATGAACTCAGTTTTCTCAACAGTAGCTAATAAAGGAAAATAATTAATAGATATTCAATGTTGAAATGGTTCTAAAACTTTAATCAAATTTAAAAAGTGAAACAAAAAACAGAATAAAAATGAAACAAAAACTAAAGAGAAAAAAATATAGAAGTTACATAAATGTCATTTTAAGTTACATACGTGTCACAAAAAGTTACATTTTAGTCACATATACTTTACTATCATTGTGTCACATTTTAGTCACATTTCTGTGGGGATATGTGTCTTAATCATTTACTTGTACATTGACAAGTTTATGTAGCACTGTCTCTAATTGTGTTTGAACCGTTTACTGGTTTTAGAAAGTAAGTAAATTTAAGTAAGTTTCATGTTGAGTTCATACTCACATAATCATGTCATGATGATGTGAGACTGGAGTTACTGCATCATTTGTACATTTAATATTGTTTATAATATATTTCAGAGAGTTCACTTAAATAGATCTCACTCTAAATTTCAGAGCCAGGCAAGATTACTAATGCACGTTTTGAGTCGTTCAACTCTCCTTCCTACTGTGATGCCACAAAGGCCAAAGTTAAATGGGAGGAGCCAGCACTTCATGACAGAAATTCAAAAATTGTTAAATATAGCTTTGTTGTTGGCACAATGAAAATAGGATACACAGTGCCAAACCCAGATCCATATAGACTGATAAATAGAGTGTTTGAAAAAAACATAACAATGTTAAAACCTGAGTCAGAATATGATGTAATGGTATGTATTTAGCTTTAAGTTACTTTTCAGGCCCCCCTTTAAAGAAGTGGGTTTATATTGCTTGCACATGTTGGTCAGTCTGTCAGTTGGTTATCTATCAGTAGACCAAACCATTTCCAGTCAATAACTTAAATTTACATTAAATAAATTTCATAAAAAAAGAAATAGCAACATTTCATTAATAAATTGGGTTTCATATCGACTCCAGATCTTATTTTTGGTGTCCAGACAACCAAAATGAGTTTAATGAGCATACAAATGTGCAACCTCATTGTGGCAGTTTGGAAGTACAATTTCTGTTTGCATGATAAACTCCGCCTATAGATCATCCGTACATCAATGTAAAATCAAGAAACATGACTATAAGTAGCAGTCCTAATTAACAGTATATTTCTGCATTGTAACGGATATTTTCATACAAATTTAATCTATTTTATGAGATAATTATTTTTTCTGAACCCCAGGCCTCGTGCACCGTGAAGCTTAAACGGTAAAAGTGTGTTTGCACAAGAAATCTTATATTTGCTGTGTTCCGGATAGCAACTATAACACCGTGACAAAGGTTGTTTTTTTTAAGCGCATACATGAGCTGATTATAGTCTTCATTTGCATGTTAAAATTCGTATACGAACTTTAGTGTTACCGTGGGGTTTTCCATTTAAAATCCTAATTTATGAACAATATTTGATGAGATTTACAATGATACTGTAAAAAAAGGTTAATGAAACTGTAGAATGCTTTGTTTTTAGGCCGACGGCAAAAATATTTTAACATAATATTATTTATTTAATGTAGCTTTAAGAAAGCTTGGGCTTAAGAACTTCAGACTTGATTTTGATCTTCTGTTTATTTTGGAGTATATTTCTTAATTATCTTTTTGCATAAATTTCTTTGTTAAGTACCCCTGCTTATCTATGTAAAACAATACAATTTTTGTGTTTTAATTTTTAGCTCGACTATTCGATAAGAATAAGTAGAGCTATTGTAGTCCCCCGAGTGTCTGGGTCGGCGTAACCACTTATGTTAAAGTTTTTGTAATACCTCAAATATTTTCAAAGTCAATTGACATATGGCTTTGAAACATTGCACACTTGTTCACCATCATGATCTCAACCTGTAGACAGGAGGAGGTAACCGTATCGAGCATTTGGACAGAATTATGCCCCTTTTTCGAATTAGAATTTACGTTAAAGTTTTTGTAATACCTTAAATATTTTCATTTCATATAAGTCCATTGACATATGGCTTTGAAACAAGTTGAAATTTTATACTCTGCTTCAAGAGCATAATAGAACTCCCTCCAAGGCCTATAACTGTAATATGGATTTAAAGAAAAATTTTGCCCTTTTCTTTACTTAGAAAATTTTACATTATCAAGGTTTTTTTACTATCAAGCACTAAGAATAGTTGAGCGTTGCTGTCCTACCGACAGCTCTTGTTTTGACTTCTGTGGAGTTCCTTTAACATGTCTGACTGGTATTTGTTACATTGCTGGCTGCGTGGGTTCATCTAGGGCAAGCTGTTGTTTCCATGAAGGAGAAACACTATTCTCATTGTGAAGTACTGGTTTCTTTCAGAAACAGTTAGAAGAGTGTTTCAATAAGCTAATAACTTCCATCACAAACTAAAACAAATTTGTAAACTTACAAAGTGGGATTAAACCCAACAGAGACTTGATTTATAGAATAATGTAAGGAAGCTGTCAATCTAGCTTCATTGGTTGCACTTAGGTGCCTGCTTGTGTCTGAAAGCTGGACACCTAAGATTTTCCTCTACTAGTTAAAATGGAAAGTCTCCTTAAGGCAGTATGACATAAACCCAAGGTATAAGTAACATGTTAATTTATCTGAAGCAGTATTTCTTTTGAATTCTTTTTGATAATATACATGTATAATGAAACTGTTTATATCTAAATGATTTAAGCTATAAGATTTATTTCAGTATTTCATAAAGTAACAAGGAAATAGAAGTTTTTACCCACTTCAATGAAAAAAAGGGTAAATAAAAAGCTTGTCTGCACTTTATTTCAGATTTATGCAATAAGCAGTAATAATCATGAAGGGCAAGAAAATACTCTGACAATAAGAACGGATGTATGTGGTATGTATAGTTTCTGACTTCCTATCTTTCATATTAATATACATTTCCAACTGACTAAGTTAAGCAAATTTCTGACTTTTTAGCTCGACTATTCGATAAGAATAAGTAGAGCTATTGTAGTCACCCGAGCGTCGGCGTTGGTGTCCGCGTCGGCGTAACCACTTACGTTAAAGTTTTTGTAATAGTTCAAATATTTTTCAAAGTCCATTGACATATGGCTTTGAAACTTTGCACACTTGTTCACCATCATGACCCCAACCTGTAGACAGGAGGAGGTAACTCTATCAAGCATTTTGACAGAATTATGCCCCTTTTTAGCTCGACTATTCGAAGAATATGAGAGCTATTGTAGTCGCCCCGGCGTCGGCGTCAGCGTCCGCGTCGGCGTCTGCGTTGGTTAAAGTTTTTTGTAAAGTCAAATATCTCAATTATTACTTGAGATATTCAATTGAAACTTACAATACTTATTTATAGTAACAAGGTACATCAGATAGACAAGTTGGATAACCCTGCCTACAATATTGACAGAATTATGCCCCTTTTTAACTTAGAAATTTTGGTTAAAGTTTTTTGTAAAGTCAAATATCTCAATTATTGCTTGAGATATTCAATTGAAACTTACAATACTTATTTATAGTAACAAGGTACATCAGATTGACAAGTTGGATAACTCTGCCTACAATATTGACAGAATTATGCCCCTTTTTAACTTAGAAATTTTGGTTAAAGTTTTTTGTAAAGTCAAATATCTCAATTATTGCTTGAGATATTCAATTGAAACTTACAATACTTATTTATAGTAACAAGGTACATCAGATTGACAAGTTGGATAACTCTGCCTACAATATTGACAGAATTATGCCCCTTTTTAACTTAGAAATTTTGGTTAAAGTTTTTTGTAAAGTCAAATATCTCAATTATTGCTTGAGATATTCACTTGAAACTTACAATACTTATTTATAGTAACAAGGTACATCAGATTGACAAGTTGGATAACTCTGCCTACAATATTGACAGAATTATGCCCCTTTTTAACTTAGAAATTTTGGTTAAAGTTTTTTGTAAAGTCAATATCTCAATTATTGCTTGAGATATTCAATTGGAACTTACAATACTTATTTATAGTAACAAGGTACATCAGATTGACAAGTTGGATAACTCTGCCTACAATATTGACAGAATTTGGCCCCTTTTTAACTTAGAAATTTTGGTTAAAGTTTTTTTGTAAAGTCAAATATCTCAATTATTGCTTGAGATATTCAATTGAAAATTAAAATACTTTTTTATAGTAACAATGTACATCAGTTTGCAAAATTGCATAAACTCTGCCTGCAATATTTGCAGAATATTTGCCCCTTTGAAACTTAGAAAATTTTGGTTAAAGGTTAAAGGTCTTCAAAAGATATTTACTTGAAACTTTTACCATGCACTTAGGGTCATAATTGGAGGGTCATAATTGTATGTCACTGACCAAGTTCCATAACTCTATCTTGCATTAAGGCTGATTCATATCCCCTTTCTACTTAGTCTCTTGGTTAATGTTTACATGCAAGTTTTACATATCTCAATAACTATTAAAGATATTTATTTAAAACTTCACATATGCATTAAGGGTCATAATTGTAAGGTCACTGACAAAGATCCATAATTCTATCTTGCATTTAGGCTGATTTTCTCCCTTTTTCAACTTAGAAAATTCATGGTAAAGTTTTGCTTGTAAGCCTGTTATCTCAATAACTACTGAAGGGTTTGTGCCTTTTTTGGGACAATTTTATGCATTCATAATAATAAAAGCAGTGATTTACTTGATAAAACATCTTAATAACAAGCCTTTGTACTTTTTCTGTCAAATTTATGTGTTCATAGGTAATTAGTATTATTATACTCAATAAAACACCCTTGTGACATTACCTTCCGAATAGTCAAGCCAATACTGTTTAATTAGACTCTCTCTAAGGCCTATAACAAGAATTTATAACAAAAATTAGCCCTTTTGTGAACTTAAAAAATTTAACATTATCAAGGCTCTTTAACTATCAAGCACTTAGAATAGTCGAGCGTGCTGTCCTACAGACAGCTCTTGTTCGACTTAGAATTTACGTTAAAGTTTTTGTAATAGTTCATATATTTTCAAAGTCCATTGACATATGGCTTTGAAACTTTGCACACTTGTTCACCATCATTACCCCAACCTGTAAACAGGAGGAGGTAATTGTATCATGCATTTTTTTTTACTATCAAGCACTAAGAATAGTCGAGCGTTGCTGTCCTACCGACAGCTCTTGTTTTTTTAAATGTAATCTGTCCACTATTGAATTTGTAATCCAGGAGTAGCTGATATGATCCTCAGACTAGGCGAAATTGCTCTGTAACATTTATTTTATTTATTCAGGATGCTCAAAAATATTATTTTGGAAAAACTTCAAGAGGCATTGAGTTACATAACACAACAAACATTATATGAAATCTAGACAATGCACACTCTGCAGAGACACTCCTTTTTTGGTGAAATAACTAGAGCTATAATTGATTCATTTCACTGCATGCCTATGATATTATTAGTTATAAAGATGTTTGACATATTATATTGTCCTATATAAACAGTAGTTAGTTTGTATATATATTGCAAATAACCGTTTATTTACGGCCATATAATGTGCCAAGAAATTTTATAATGAATTTATGATAGATCTACTGCAAACTTACTTTGTCAACAAAAAAACTGAAATTAATTCATAAAACACCTGCAGCAGTGTATACTGATTATATAAACATCATGATTATCCAATTAAAAGCAATGTTACAAACCTGTAGTATTATAAATTTTTATATAAAGTATTACTTATCTATATTTCACTATTTAGCCAGCCCACATAGCTCAATCGGTTAGAGCGCGAGACTTGTAATCTCGACATTGTGGGTTCGATTCCCGGGCTGGCCAACTAAAATTACTAATCAGTCTTTCGGATAAGACTTTAAATCGAGGTCCCGTGTATGGGTGCTTAAACACTTGGCACGCTAAAGAACCAGGAGAAGCTTCTGGAATTGGGGCATCTTTCTGTATCTGTAATTGCACTATCCTCCAAAAAAATAAAATGACTAATACTCTTCTGGAGGACTCGCCCACATGGGCAACCGGTGGCGAGTATAAATAAACGCAAATACACACACATATTTCACTATCATACCAGTCCTGCTCTCATGATATCTGTAAATTACATGATCTGTGCATATAATAGTGAATTATGATGTGTATTGTATTGTATTGTGAATGCCTTCTGGTGATTTTTGTCATCACTGCTATTATATATATATAAGGCAACACCTGTAAGTTACAACCAAAATATCTCCCTCTTGAAGGGTGTTGCTCTGCAGAGGTTGTACTGAACATGCTATAAAGAAGAGCGAAATTTATGTGCTATATTGTGATAAACTTATACATTATTATTGCCTTACGGAAGGTACATTTACGAACACTTTTATTTCAGCACCCCCAGACTGGACTCCCTCAGACTTGAATGCAGTAACGATGCAAAGTTCCTCAACATCTTATGTTACCATTCAGTTACCAAATGCGTTCTTTAGCAAAACTGAGCAAGGAAAATTGCAAGAAATAGGATTTATTGTTTTACCTAGGGAAAGCATATATTTTGATGGTAAATATAGTTGAATGAAATAATTATTGCCTGTAACAGATAGTAAAACTCAAAAATTATTATTATATCTGTGACATGCAAATGTGGTGAACCTCAAAATGCATTAGATGTGACATTTAGTGACACTCAAAATTGTGTGTGACATATAGTGTAACACTGAAAATTTACATACTGAATTTAACATATTTTAACATAATAGTAAACCTTACAATCAATTGGATGTGACATACTGAAACTTGACATTGATTTTATGCAGTACTGAAACTTAAAGATGATTGTATGTGACATACTGAAACTTGATATTGATTGTACATGACATACTGAAACCTTGACATTCAATGTATGTGACATACTGATACTTTACATTCAATGTATGTGACATACTGATACTTTACATTCAATGTATGTGACATACTGATACTTTACATTCAATGTATGTGACATACTGATACTTTACATAGATTGTGAGTGACATACTGAAACTTGACATTCAATGTATGTGACATACTGATACTTGACATTCAATGTATGTGACATACTGATACTTTACATTCAATGTATGTGACATACTGATACTTTACATGGATTGTAAGTGAATTACCGAAACTCGACATTGATTATAAGTGACATACTTAAACCTCAACATTGATTTACTTGACACACTGACACTTGACATTGATTGTAAGTGAAATACCGAAACTCGATATTGATTATAAGTGACATTCTGAAACTTGACATTGATTGTATATGACATACTGAAACTTGACATTGATTGTATATGACATACTGAAACTTGACATTGATTGTAAGTGACATACTGAAACTTACAGTTGATTGTACACAACATACTGAAACTTTAAGTTAATATTATGTGACATACAGACCCCTTATTTTGGTTGGTATGTTATGTAATTATTATGAATTTCAAAACAACATTCTGTGTCACTGTAGTAGACCTTAAATTGATTTTGTGCAACATTCTGTGAATCTCAGAATTTATTGTACAAGTATGTATAAATAATCTATAGCTAAAAATTGACAGTAAGTGACATAAATTGGCACTTGAAATTTAGTTCAACTTCAAACTTCAATTGAAATATTGTTTGACTCAAATGTAATTTTGTGTAACATAAATTGAAACTTTAATTTCATTAAGCATTGTGAAATATTGTGAAACTCCAAAATTGATTGTATGTGATATATATAAGTGAAGCTTGAACCTTAAAAGATTACTGTACATTGCTTTTGTTTTCATTTTTCCAGGTTTTCCACCCATTAACCTTGAAAAACATCAAATGATTGGCACAATTCCCAAGAATAATGAGTTTACAAAAGAATTCAGAGTAGAAGTTACTACAGGTAACTTTTTAGCTCACCTGAGTTTGCTCAGGGTGAGTTTTTAGGATCGTTGAATGTCTGTCGTCCGTCAACATTCGTTAACACTTTAGTGGTCAAATTTTTGCCTCAATCATCATCAAACTTTGTCAGGATGCTTGGCTAGGTAATTGCTCGGGATTAGTTTCTACAAGGGTCAATCTCGGTTTGTTAAACTGGGTCACAGGAGCAAAAAATAAAAAAATCTTTTTAAAAACTCAAAGGGGGTTTACTGTTTTGTTTCCAAAAAACCGGAAAATTTGGGTTCTGAAATTTTTGTTTTGTTTGACTTCTAATAGGTCACCTGGGTCAAAAACTAGGTCACACTGCCCAAATATGAAAAAACCTTGTTATTACTCTAGTGGTATAATTTTTTACTCAATTGTCATAAAACTTGGTCAAGATGCTTGTCTAGGTAATTGCTCGGATTAGTTCAAACATGGGTCATCTCGGAAGAAAAACTAGGTCACAGGAGCTTAAAATAGAAAAATCTTGTTAACACTGTAGTGGCTCCAAATATCCTGGAAATGGGTCTGAAAGTTTGTTTTGATGATTTTTAGGTCAAGTTCGATTATTGGTCACCTTAGGTCAAAAGCTAGGTCACACTGCCCAAATATGGGAAAACCTTGTTAACACTCTAGTGGTCACATTTTTGCCTCAATCATCATCAAACTTTGCCAGGATGCTTGTCTTGGCTATTGCTTGGATGAGTTCGAACATTCGTCATTTCAGATGAAAAACTAGGTCACAGGAGCTAGAAATAGAAAAATCTTGTTAATACTCTAGTGGATATTGCTTTGATCAAAATATCCTTGAAATTGGTCAGAAACTTTGTTTTGATGCTTTATAGGTCAAGATTAAATATGGCTCACCTGGGGTCAAAAACTAGGTCACACCTTCCAAATATGGAAAAACCTTGTAAACACTCGGGTTGTCACATTTTTAGCTCGACTTTTCTATGAAAAGGGGAGCTATCCTACTCGCCCCGGCGTCGGCGTCGGCGTTAGCGTCGGCGTCGGCGTTGGCGTCACACCTTGGTTAAGTTTTTCGTACCACCCCACTTTATTTCAGAAGTATTACAAGTATGGCTTTGAAACTTACCATACTTGTTCACCATCATAACCTCCATCTACAGACAAGAGTACATAACTCTGTCAAGGTTTTTGACAGAATTATGGCCCTTTTTTGACTTAGAAAGTGTATTGAGCTTGGTTAAGTTTTTTGTACCACCTCACTTTATTTCAAAACCATTGGAGGTATTGCCTTTGAAACTGACCATACTTGTTTACCATCACGACCTTCATCAACAGACAAGAGGACATAACTCTGTCAAGGTTTTGACAGAATTATGCCCCTTTTTGACTTAGAAAATACATTGAATATGGGTAAAATCCACTTATTGCCTTAACCCTTTGAGATATTGCTTTGAAACTTTTAATGCTATTTCACATCATTACCCCCATCTGTACGCAAGAGAAGGTAACTCTGTCAAGGATTTGTTTTAAAAATTAAGGCCTTTTATCGACTTAGAATCTTGGTTAAGTTTTTAGTACCAGTCCACTTTTTGACTGAAACTGTTTGAGATATTAATTTGAAAGTTGGAATACTTGTTTACCATCATGGTCCCAAAACATGGGCAGGAGAAGGTAATTCTGTTAAGGATTTTATTTGAATTATGGCCCTTTTTGACTTAGAAACTCAGTTAAGATTTTCATTCTTGTCCACTTGTTGACTTAACCATTTGAGATATTACTTTGGAAGTTGGAGTTCTTATGTGCCATCATGAGACCTATCTGTAAGCAAGAGAAGATAACTCTGTGAAAATGTTTCTTGATTTGTACTTAGAAATTCCTAGTTAAAGTCTTGTGTGCCCTTAACTGTCAAAGTTTTGTTTTATAGGCAAGCACTAAAAAAGTCGAGCGCGCTGTCCTTCTGACAGCTCTTGTTGACTCAATAGTCATCAAACTTGGTCAGGATGCTTGTCTAGTTAATTGATCTGATGACTTCGATTGGTCAGATGAGCGATCTAGGGCCATCTTGGCCCTCTTGTTTTTGGTAATTATGAATTAAAGAAATTTGTTTGTCAGGTTTTTATGCCGATTTCAACTCATTGTCTTGGTAATATTTAGATAGTTGGTTTACCAAACTGGTTTTCCTGGATCAGTAATTACCAATTACTCAGCAAGTGACCGACAACTAATCCAACATGATTGTTGAATCAGCAATAAAAGCAAAAAATTGACCATTTGACACAATTCCAAAGTTCAAGTTGTCACACATAAATTTTGCCTCGCCCAAAGATGGAACCAGTGACCCCTAGATAACAAAACCAATGTTTTCCCAATTTAGCTTTCTAAGGGGGCATTGTATCAAATATAAGTTAATTTATTTGTTTTATTATAAAACTAATGCCTTTTTTGGATTTTTAAAAATATTTTAACATAGGGCTAATATAAAATTACCAGGGATGATATGAGGAAAATAGGGCCAATATTAAAAGATTAGGCCGATACGAAAATGAATCATTTTGATTAGTTTAGAAGCAGTGCATATTTAAATGGTTCTCTATTCTATTTATAAATGAACATCACTGACACAGTTTAAAGGACATAGAATTGTTTCGTGAGTCCAATGGGTTGATTATACATGTTAAGTAAAATATAAAATAGAAAACAACTGTTGAGAAATATGAAATTATTTTGACTTTTACTTGTACACTGACCCTTTACACTTGGATTAGTATAATGTCACTATTATTCTGAAAATTTCAAGTGACGCAGTCATGAGTGAAAAATGCAAGCTGTGAAGCATTCCTAGTGTTTCTTAGTCCTTTTCTGAAGTTTCTAGATTTTTTTACTTTTTTCCAAAAAAGCCCCTTTGTATACTGAAATATTATAATGGATATTAGCATTTATTTAGCATGTTTTGTGTGTACTTACAGTTTAAGGTAATCATGAATTAAAATTCTTTTTTGAATTATAACAGAGGGCATCACTAATGGAATGCTTAAGATTGGTTCTGATTGTACATCAAACAGTGACTTTTGTAATGGTCCACTTCCAGAACAATTCTCATTCAAGTAAGTGTGTTGTCTTTATTTGTCCTTACCCTACTGAATTTGTGAAATGGATTTGCCCTGCTTTGAATATGGAAGGGTCCATTCTAGTTTTAAGTGATTTCAATGACAAAACAATATCAACCAGCAGATGTGCAGACTGGCATGGCACTAAATTGGTGGCAAAGGGTAATCTCTTCTGGTTTTGGCAGGTTATGGGATAATGTATAAAAAAAATTTATTATGGGCTATGTTATTATGTATATCATACTACTTTATGTTGTTGTTTTTTGTCTTTCAAAGATCAACTGAATAAGGGATATTTGTTTTGAGTAAATATAATAATATTATTTAATTTTTCCCATGAAATATGGTGCTATATCACTCAAATATATTTCATATTTTTATGCCACCGCAGCATCTGCGATGCGGTGGCATATAGCGATTCACCTGTGTGTTTGTTTGTGTGTGTGTGTGTGTGTGTGTGTGTGTTATATAGATTATATAGTGAACTTAAAAAATCTTCTTGTGAAAAACCACTAGTCCAATTTCAACCAAACTTGGCAGGATTGATCCTTGGGTGAAGGGCTTCCAAAGTTGTTCAAAGAATTTCATTCCATGCAGAAATCTGGTTGCCATGGCAACCAAAAGGAATTATAAGAATAAATTTAAAAAATCTTCTTGTAAAGACCCAAAAGGCCTAGAGCTTAGATATTTTGCATAAGGCATTGTCTGGTAGACCTCTACCAAGATTGTTCAAATTATAGCCCTGGGGTCCAAATCGGCCCCGCCCCGGGGGTCATTGATTTTCACTATATGTACATATGATAAAAACTTAAATACCTTCTTGTCTGAAGGTACCAGGCTTAGAGGTTTGATATTTGGTATGTGTTATCATCTATAGGTACTCTACCAAAGTTGTTCAAATTTTGCCTCTAGTGTCAAAATTAGCCCCGCCCCGGGGGCCATAGGTTTTCCTTATATGTATATAGTAAAAACTTAAAAAATCATCTTCTCTAAATTTACAAAGGCTAGAGTTAAGATATTTTGCATGAAACATTGTGTAGTGAACCTCTAGCAAGATTGTACAAATTATAGCCCTGGGGTCAAAATTGGACCCACCCCCGGGGGTCATTGATTTTCACTATGTACATATAGTGAAAAATTAAAAAATCTTATTGTCTGAAGGTACAAGGCTTAGGGCTTTGATATTTGGTATATGATATCATCTATAGGTACTCTACCAAAGTTGTTCAAATTTTGCCTCTAGTGTCAAAACTAGCCCTGCCCCGGGGTCATAGGTTTTCCTTACATGTATATAGTAAAAACTTTAAAAAAATCATCTTCTCGAATTGACAAAGGTTAGAGGTGAGACATTTTGCAGTAAACATTGTGTAGTGAACCTTTAGCAAGATTATTCAAATTAAAGCCCTGGGGTCAAAACAAAAAAAATGTGTTCCTACATTACTATTTTAGTGTTGTATTTATGCGGTGGCATAGCATTTTTTACAAATGCAATCTTGTTTAAAAATAAATATGAAATATAAATATGAAAGTGGGCGGAGTCAAAACTCTTATTTATTCTAAGGGACTTCTTTCGCCATTTTGTTTGAAAAATCTGATAAATACAAAACAAATTTTTGTTGAATTTTGCTTTGAAAACTATCTAGAATGATACAAAATGGTCTTACTAAGAAAATAAATCCGAACACCAATATCTTTAATTCAGTTATTAACGCTGTACAGACGTTTAAACAGGTGTTTACGTGACGTCACAATGTAGCGCCAAATATCGCATGCAAAACAAGACACAATAATATTTTGCTGCGCGCTGTACAATTGCAGTTGCGTAGCAAGCAATAGGTTTCGTAACCATTTTTCTTTGATAATGAAATTAAATAAAAAGGTTATTTTTTCGTTTTTCGTGAAATATGGTATATATTTTCACTCAACATGATAAAATGTCACATATTTTCACTCGCCGTCTCGGCTCGTGAAAATATGTGGCATTTTATCATGTTTCGTGAAAATATATTCCATATTTCACTCAAACGAAAAAAATATCCTCTTATTATTCTCTTAAAAGTGAAACAATGGCAATCCACATGTATTTTCTATATTGCTTAGTAAAAACATGCATGTTTTCCTGCTTTGATGTGATATAATCGGAGAACAATAGATCAAGAAATATACCATTAAAAACTGCAACAATTATTTTATTTATGTAAAACTGTTCATGTGAATTAATTGGACACCATCAAAATGTCTGGCAGAGCTATATTACTCACGATTTATCATGGGCTTCATTTCAACAACAAAACCAAGTTTTTCAATGGTATATATACATGTAGATATAGTTTATCAAAAATACCAAAAAAAAGGAAATTTTCAAAGTCATAAATCATATGAGGTATAAATGAAGAAATAGATCTTAACTGAATACATGTTGTTTATTTTAGAGTTGCAGCATATGCTTGCACAAGAAAAACTTTGTGTAGAGTAGCTAGACCAATAGGACCGTATGTTACTAAAGCTAAGCAGATAGACAATGGTAGTTCACCATCGGGCCTGGTGATTGGTCTATCTGTCGTCATGGTACTGTTAGCAGCTTGTGCGGCCTTCACCTTCCTGTGGTACAAAGATTACATTCATCCGTAAGACTTTATTTTATATTATACATTGTATTTTTATGCCCCCACTGTGCTTTATTTTCTAATGATACATTATTAGTTATGCCCCCACTGTGCTTTATTTCCTTATTGTACATTGTCTTTTATATGCCCCAACTCACTAATAAGAAAGTGGAGGTGTAGGCATATAGACTTGTCAGTCTGTCCATCCACCTGTATCACTGGGCTATTTAAACTGTGTAGGGGGAAATCTAACTGTAAACAAAAGAAAAGGGAATAGATTTAATAGACATCATTCCTAAACAATAGATAAGGGGCCGAGGGTCCTCTATATAAAAAAGTGTGTTGTGATTGATCATGAAATCTTTTGTACAGTCATTCCCACTGTACCTTTGCTCTGGAATGTACGGAAGTTATAAGTTCCTCGCAAAAGTGAAGGCATCAATATCTGATAATATCTGTTTTGACAGCCTGCCATGAATGATATGGTGGCTGAACTGTGCTCTGGTTAATTCAATGTGGCTTACCAATGTATTCCGGAGGGTAAACTACCAACACCAGCACCAACATTTATTTCAGTTAAAAGGTTACTTATCTAAGAATATGTATGTAGATAAACTGAAGTTAAATTTATGTTATGATCATGAAGCAACTTAGTAGAGTTGAATTTTAAAATAGTTATATGGCATTGTTCAGGTTTATATATTTGCTTGATTTGCATTTGCAGAATGGCATGGTTATGTTTTGTTTATTATAATTGCAGAGGATCGTGGTTTTCTAGGAAGAATAACGACGATAATGATGATTCATTCACATCATTAGATAGAATCGTTAAAAACAGGTTAGCTTTTGTTCAGGGATATACTCGACAAAATTTTGTAAAGAATTTACATCATTCGGCATTTTATTATATGCGGTCTGATCAGGCTGTACTAGGTTGGTAGCTCAATTTTTGTATTTTGATATTTGAAATGGAATGCTGGGCAAATCCGTTGCACAAAGTCAGGAGGTTAAGGGTGAAGTTAATGCTGTTAACTACTTCCAGGTTGTCTATTCATCAGTAATTGTAGAAGGAATGATTATTGAACCTCATTTCTCTGTTAAAAGTCATCTCCTTGACCCTTGTGATAGCAGTCAGGTGTTCTACCAATGCACGGAGGTCTTCCTTCACCAGTAAAGCTCTAAAGTCATCATATCATCACTACTGTGTTGGTGTGTTGTAAATATACACAACATATAATTTTATCATTTAATCAATATTATCATCATAAATTTCGACAAATAGTTAGATTCAGCTTAATTAAGTATTGTACAAATTGAACCTTAGCATGCCATTGGCTACTGAATTTACCTATGCTACCAGTGCAGACCAAGATCAGCTTAGCATGCCCTTGCCATCTCGTCATGATGTAAATTGTCAGTCAGTACAAAATTTGAAATTTTCCCAAAAAATGATGAATTGTTTTTGACCTGATTTTAAGATGGACCAGTCCATTTATAACATTTAGTTTGGAAATGGTTTACTCATGTTGAAAAGTATGATTGATATAATACAATGTATATTTCAATATAGAAATGATTTATATATTTTAGGCCAATTAAAGTTTGTAACTATGTACGAGAATTGGATGAAATGCACAAAGACACTAACCTTCTACTATCTGACCAGTATGATGTAAGTATTCATTTTAGTTGTTTTGTCGATGATGAGTAACTCTGATTTAGCATGGGACTTCGTATTATTGGGCTTCTTAATGTTTCATCTATGTCTGCATTGAATTTCATTGATGAATTTAATGATTAATACTTTGTGTGAAGCAGAAAAAATTCAACTTAAGTAAATATTTCATTTTTTTGTTGAATCTTTAACTTCTTAATCTTTAAGAGATTCACGTTTAAGCTCTTTGAAATTATTTTAAAATGTCTACAACAACATATATATTAGTTTGTGACGTATGTTATGTAAAATAATTAATTGAAAAATGTAAAATGAATGTATTATGTAAAAAGAAAAATGTAAATAAACGGGCCTTAAACGTGGTTAAAAAAAAAAAAAAAAAAAAAAAAAAAAATCTTTTAACTTCAATGTATGCATGACCGCACAATCATGACAAAATACTGAAAGTATGTCAGTAATAGAACTGCGCTGATAATACAGAGTTATAGTATACTTTTAATTGAATTTGAACGCATTTAATATGGATTCATGGACTTATATTGATAGATTTAACATGATCAATGTTACATTCTTATCAAGGGTCTTCTAACATTAGGGGTGATAGTACCCAGGTAAGGGTTTATGATACAGGGACATGTTCCTCCAGAAAATGCAGAAAATGTTTGAATTCTAGTTCATCTTTCCATCATAGTATCAGAATTACCCTTTACTTAGTCACTTTAGAATATTTCAATGAAATTCAACAAGCTTGCAGTAATGTAAAAGAAATTTCAATTGTATATTTATTATAAAATAAATTATCGTCCTTTTTGCATATGTTTCCATGTTTATACTATTGACTCGGCAGTAGTTAAAAACTATCAACTAAGATTTTAACTAGATTTTATGAAATTTCAGGACATCAACAAGTTGGGACAAATAATAGCAGAAAATTCTACAACTCATGCTGCTAGGCATGAAAATAATACACCCAAGAATAGATGGGTCAATATATTACCATGTAGGTATCATTTCTCTTGCGTATATAGATTAAATGGTCATTGATATTTTGATAATGCCATTTACTTATATCAAAGCATTATATTTTTACCCTTAACCTGCTTGAATCAAAGGTCTTTTTATGCCCCCACAAAGTGGGAGCATATAGCGTTGCACTTGTCCGTCCGTCCGTCCGTACGTCTGTCCGTCCGTCCGTACGTCCCAAAATCTTGTGAACGCAACTCCTCTTAAACCGGATGGCAGATTTTGCTTAAACTTTCAGGGATGAACAACCTTAATGTGTAGATGGTAGTAAAGGAAGGAATTTTTGCTGCGACCAAATTTAACAGAATTATGGCCCTTTGTTGATTTTTTCACTATATACCATTTAGAAATTTTGTGAACGCAACTCCTCTTAAACCGAATGGCAGATTTTGCTTAAACTTCCAGGGATGAACAACCTTAATGTGTAGATGGTAGTAAAGGAAGGAATTTTTGCTGCGACCAAATTTAACAGAATTATGGCCCTTTGTTGATTTTTTCACAATATACCATATAGAAATATGTGAACACAACTCCTCTTAAACCGAATGGCAGATTTTGCTTAAACTTCCAGGGATGAACAACCTTAATGTGTAGATGGTAGTAAAGGAAGGAATTTTTGCTGCGACCAAATTTAACAGAATTATGGCCCTTTGTTGATTTTTTCATTATATACCATTTAGAAATTTTGTGAACGCAACTCCTCTTAAACCGAATGGCAGATTTTGCTTAAACTTCCAGGGATGAACAACCTTAATGTGTAGATGGTAGTAAAGGAAGGAATTTTTGCTGTGACCAAATTTAACAGAATTATGGCCCTTTGTTGATTTTTTCACAATATACCATATAGAAATTTTGTGAACGCAACTCCTCTTAAACCGAATGGCAGATTTTGCTTAAACTTCCAGGGATGAACAACCTTAATGTGTAGATGGTAGTTAAGGAAGGAATTTTTGCTGCGACCAAAGTTAATAGAATTATGGCCCTTTGTTGATTTTTTCACTATATACTAAGTAGAAATTTTGTGAACACAACTCCTCTTAATCCGAATGGCAGATTTTTCTTAAACTTCCAGGGATGAATAACCTTAATGTGTAGATGGTAGTAAAGGAAGGAATTTTTGCTGGGACCAAATTTAACAGAATTATGGCCCTTTGTTGATTTTTTCACTATATACCATATAGAAATTTTGTGAACGCAACTCCTCTTAAACCGAATGGCAGATTTTGCTTAAACTTCCAGGGATGAACAACCTTAATGTGTTGATGGCAGTAAAGGAAGGAATTTTTGCTGCGACCAAATTTAACAGAATTATGGCCCTTTGTTGATTTTTTCACTATATACCATATACATGTTGTCAGTTGGGGCATCCGTGTCCTTTGGACACAGTTCTAGTTTACTACCAGTATAGAGCTAGGACAGCTCGAGCGTCCGTGAAGTCTGTCTAGGATCCAAGGTTATTAAGAATTTTCTCAGCTCAAACTCGTATCGCAGGTATTTCATAGATCAGAAACTTGTACAGAATGCACACTGACCAATGAAAATCCTGAGATTTTATTCAAAGGTCAGGAAAAAAGTTTTATAACCTTGAGGCTAGGCTCTATACTGTTTGTAACTCAGTTTTGTTTATTTTGATATCAAATACCCTTAGACTTTGAAAGGACTGATCCAAATTCAAAGTGTTGAAAATCCTTAAATACAAACTCAGCAGGTTAAGGGTTAAAACCAATTAATTTCTTACCCGCTTCTTTGACTGGAATGAAAAGCAAATCTAAGGTAAAATGTTATTGAAATGTGTATTTTGATTATATACTAAAAGACTGTTTCAAAAAATAGAAACATTACAGAAATGATGTATTTTTATAGTTTTTTAATTTGCCACTAACAATATTAACTTGTGTTGACCCTTGTTAAGCTAGCTCTGATATTGAGTTAATTTCTGTGCATGAGTTAAGTTGACTTGCATTATGATACTATTTTACCAATGAAGTTGACCAAAGTCCAGTAAAACTAGCTCTGATATTGTGTTATTTTCTGACTTTATTTAAGTTAAGTTGACTTTCATTTTGATATTATTTTAACAATATTTACTCAAGTTGACCTAAATTGAGTAAAGCTAGCTCTTATATTTTGTTATTTTCTGACTATATTTAGGTTAAGCCGACTTGCATTATGATATTATTTTATTAATATTTACTTCAGTTGACCATAGTCAATAGATTAATCTATTTTCTGTCTATATTTAAGTTGACTTACATTATAATAATATTATTTTATCCAATATGGACTTAAGTTGACCATAGTTAAGTAAAGGTAGCCCTGAGATTAAGTTTTTCTGTGTATATTTAAGTTAAGTTGACTTGCATTATGATATTATTTTAACAATATTTACTTAAGTTGACCATAGTTGAGAGATTAAGTTATTTTCTGTCTATATTTGAGTTGACTTGCATTATGATATTATTTTACCAATATGGACTTAAGTTGACCATAGTTAAGTAAAGGTAGCCCTGAGATTAAGTTTTCTGTGTATATTTAAGTTAAGTTGACTTGCATTATGATATTATTTTAACAATATTTACTTAAGTTGACCATAGTCGAGTAAAGCTTCAGCAACTGGATGAGGATGACCCAACAACAGACTATATAAATGCTAATTATATGCCTGTAAGTTTTGGAACTGTTGATTGAGCCTAAGCTATGCTTGTTTCTTGCATTTTGAATCATGCCATATATGTTATATAAACGCTCTTTAATATTTATATATATATACGGATACGACAAGCTAGTTGACCTAATTTCAATCAGTTTTACATGTGACGCTTTACAGTTGTTTGTGTAACAAAGTGGTTGCAGGTTCTCACTATAGTTGCTTTTAGAAGATAGAAAATGGAAAAACATTAGCACTCACAAATATTTTTAAAAAAAAAATCTTAAAACTGCTCTCAATTGCTTTTAGTTAAATATTACATTGGGCAGTCTGGCCCGATTTGCAGTTTCTATTAGTATAGATAGAATAATATACTCAGACCTAGTCAGACTATCATTAACTATCTATACATGCACAGGCAGTGAGCTGTATGACTTTCAAAATTTGAGATAAAATCAAAATAATATCAAAAACAAAACACAAAAATTGAAAGAATGGTAAGATTGTAAGTATTGAAATTCTAGAAAAAATATCAATTCACACATCAAAATTGCTTTGAGACAATAGACAAAAAAAGTTATTCACGCACCAATATTTTTTTAAGACAATAGACCGATATTTATTCAAACACCTATGTTTGCTTTGAAACAGGCCGATATTTAGTCAGACACAAGTTTTTGGTTTGAGACAATAGGCCAGTATTTAATTGGAATCTAAAATATGTTATATACTTTGGGCCAGTATTAAATCAGACATCAATATTTCCTTTTAGACAATAGGCCAATATAAAATCAGACACTTTTTTTGCATTGAGACAATAGGCCAATATTAATTCAGACACTTATTTTGCATTGAGACAATAGGCCAATATTAATTCAGACACTTTTTTTGCATTGAGACAATAGGCCAATATTAATTCAGACACTTATTTTGCATTGAGACAATAGGCCAATATTAATTCAGACACTTATTTTGCATTGAGACAATAGGCCAATATTAATTCAGACACTTATTTTGCATTGAAACAATAGGCCAATATTAATTCAGACACTTATTTTGCATTGAGACAATAGGCCAATATTAATTCAGACACTTATTTTGCATTGAGACAATAGGCCAATATTAATTCAGACACTTATTTTGCATTGAAACAATAGGCCAATATTAATTCAGACACTTATTTTGCATCGAGACAATAGGCCAATATTAATTCAGACACTTATTTTGCATTGAGACAATATGCCAATATTAATTCAGACATTTACATGTATTTTTCTTTGAGACAATAGGCCAATATTAACCAGGAACCAATATTGGTTTAAGACAGTAGGGCAGTATTTAACAAGACAATACTTGCTTTTAGTATTGAGAAAATAAAGCAGGATTGATACAGAAACCAAATTTGTCCATGAAATCTTTGATCAGTCTGAATTCTGACAGCATTATAAAGTTTGAAAACTTAGAACAGTGTTGATTCTTTGAACAACAAAAAAATAACACAGTAAGAACAATAATTGCATTTGAAATCAGGCAAGAACATTTCTTTTTAGAATGAAGATTAAAATACAGATTGGGACACAAAGTTTGCTTTTTTACAACAAATAAATATAGCTTCTATGTGCACAAACAGTTGACTGTTGTCATTGGAAAATAAAAGTGATTAAGGTTAATTAAACAAAAATGTGACCCATATATTGTTAACTTTAAAAATTATGTTTTGCTGAAGTAGAAGAATTAAGTCTTTGCCCTAGTGTTTATGAATGCAACATCTGAAGTCCCATCTCCCTCAGTTATGACTTTAAGTATATCTTACACACATAGCATGCCCCTATGTCCTTACAGTAAATACATTGATATACATGTAGATACCCTTTCTTATTCTCTATACTTCATGCTATAGTCATTTCTCAAACTCTGTATATTTTTAAATCCATTTATTTCTATCAACATAACAATATCTCATTTGTATATAAATGTCCATTTTGTAATTTAATATTCAGGAACTGAATGTCTGACTAAGAACCGCATCTAATTGGTTTGGTGTTATTTTATGGACTTAGGTGTCATTGTTGACATCTCTTAGAATTGTGTTGCTTGCACCTAATGTGTTTGTTTGTAAGAGGAGCAGCTCTCTAAGGGTGGAATATATAGAATGAATGGGTCACTGTTTAAAATTGTAAAAACATCAGTAAGCTGTTACAGATAAGGTCACAGTCAAGTCTGCTTTATAGCATCCGAAATGAGGTTTTACACAGCAGTACAATAGGAGGCATTCATTATAAGCTTGCACACCACTATTGTGAGTATTAAAAAGATTGGAGGAAAACCAACTATTTTGAGGTTGAACAGTAATGAAGACGTCACCCGACCCCCTCATACCTATTATGGACAAATATGCAGGGTTACCCAAGTGGGGCCTCAAAAAAAGTAATGAAGACGTATGTAGTATGATTGCACACCACTATTCAGAATGTGAATAAGATAAGAGGCTTAATTAAAAAGGCTGCTCACTCCTTGTTTTACAGTGAATATCTTATTCATAGATGGAGACATCTGAATTATGGCGGTTAGCCGTTTTAAAGTTTAAGACTCTGAATACACTTGTTAGGGTTTAGAATCAGCTTGAATATGGCCTCTGATATGATTGAGTCAGGTGAAAGGTATTGTGGGAGACTTGTGAGGAAATTATTATGCATGCTTGCACACAAGTCTAGATGGCCCTTAACATGTCAGTGTGTTGCCAGAAGTGATAATCAGACTGAGATTTCATGTTAAGAGACATTTTGTCAGTGTGTTGCCAGAAATGATAATCAGACTAAGATTTCATATTAGAGACATTTTGTCAGTGTGTTGCCAGAAATGATAATCAGACTAAGATTTCATATTAGAGACATTTCGTCAGTGTGTTGCCAGAAATGATAATCAGACTAAGATTTCATATTAGAGACATTTTGTCAGTGTGTTGCCAGAAATGATAATCAGACTAAGATTTCATATTAGAGACATTTTGTCAGTGTGTTGCCAGAAATGATAATCAGACTAAGATTTCATATTAGAGACATTTTGTCAGTGTGTTGCCAGAAGTGATAATTAGACTAAGATAACAACTAGGTAGCTTCTTCTCATGAAAAGTCAAAGTCCCATGTAGGGGGTTTAGACCAGCTATGTAGTAGTGAGCCTGAGTCCAATGAATGAAAGTAATAGACATTAATCATGCAGTCAGGGAGGCCCATAAAGGGGCAGATACAATAATACATAAAATACAATTAACTGAGATAATGATTATATAAACAAATTCTTTCAAATTGTTAGATTGTATGTTTATTTATGACTACAAATATATGTATCTTCAGGGACAAGATGTATTGAAAGAATGTATATTCTCTCTTCTTTTTTTTAGGCTACAATCAATTTTCTTGCCTTCTTAATACATGTACTGATAACTTCTGTACTCACCTAGTCTTGCATTTAATATTTCCATGCCACATTCCCTATAAAGATCTTATTTACTGGATTAGAGTTAGGCAGATCTAGTTAGGCAGATCTTTTTTTTCTTTAGAAAGAAACATTGTTGTCACCTAAAACAGTGTTCAAACCTAAAAAAAATGCTGCGTTGAGTGGCAGGCTTTCTAACAGCTTGGTGAGAGCTTGCCAGTATTAATTATTTGTTTAATGTGTTGGTCACTTAATTTGCAAAATCAATACTTTATAAATTCAAGGATAATGTTCTTTTTTTGTAATACGGTATTAGGAAAACAAAAAAATTCAAGGATAATGTTCTCTTTTTGTAATACGGTATTAGGAAAACAAAAAGATTCAAGGATAATGTTCCCTTTTTGTAATACGGTATTAGGAAAACAAAAAGATTCAAGGATAATGTTCTCTTTTTGTAATACCGTATTAGGAAACCAAAAAGATTCAAGGATAATGTTGTCTTTTTGTAATACGGGATTAGGAAACCAAAAGGATTCAAGGATAATGTTCTCTTTTTGTAATACGGTATTAGGAAAACAAAAAGATTCAAGGATAATATGATCTCTTTTTGTAATACAGTATTAGGAAAACAAAAAGATTCAAGGATAATATGATCTCTTTTTGTCATACGGTTTTAGGGAAACAAAAATATTTGAGACACTGTGTTCTTTTTGTAATAAATGGAATCAAAATTTTTTTAGGCGGATGTAGATTGTTTTTATACAGTTTAGAAGTCTACAGGTAGTTTGTTCACCATACATCTATGCTTTCAGGCTGTTTTTTTTCACTTTTGTCTTTACTCAAACAATTTGAAGTTAGTCTTGCACTTTAACTTTTAGATAGCTCCTTGAATAATGTACCTTATTCTGTTGGGTTTTTTGATCTGAAGTTTGTCTTGCACTTAAACTTTTAGATATGTACCTATTCTGTTGGGTTTTTTTCCTAATCAAAATTTATATTGACTTTTCTTAACGATATTTTGTTATATTCATGAGTTTTAGAAATAGATTTTAATATATATTTCTTTTAGAATCATGAGTTTTTCATACATGTAGGACAATAAATATATCTGAAACATATTGGATTTAATACTTGTATGTTATTTTAAATTAAAGTCTAGCCAAGGCTAGTCATTGCCAAGTTCATTTTTATGACAAAAACTTCTCACTCCCGATTGCAAGGTATAATATTTTGCAAACATATGCCAGAGATAATGTATCATTTAAGTCCATGACCTTCTTTTCAACAATACATTTTTACTAGACTGTACTGCTAGTACCAGCTATGTCTATAATTAAAGTTGTTAAAAATATATGGCATGTGTAATGAATAAACGTTAAAATTAAATAGAAACATAAAAAATATCAACCTTTTTACTAGACTGTACTGTATGAGTACCAGCCATGTCCATTATAATCAAGAAGTCTTTATTCACAGTTAAGAATATATTGCCAATATGTTCTAAATAAGCGTTAAAAGTAGAATCATAAAAAAGTAAAAAATATCACCCTTTTCATGGTTAGTTATAAATGCATTATCATGGCATTGTACACCTTGGTATATGGAAGTTACATTCAATTTACAATCCTTTGTATTGGTCTGTATATATTGTAATAGATAACTGTTTGAGCATTGGCGTCACTAAAAGCAGGTCAACGGCACCAGTATAGAGCAAGGCCAGTCAAAAATCAATTTCCTTAGCAGTTGATTGGTTAAAATTCTGAAAAATAAGAGACAGAATATAGGATGCTGACAAATTTATTAAAGGAAATGTAGTTGAATTGTTAAACTTGTAAGGTGAATTAATGTGTGGCACCACATTCAACATAACCTTTGACACAGTTTTGTTATTGGTTCACTAAATTTTGTTATGAACTTGTTTGCAGGGTTTTCACAACCAACGTGAGTACATTGCTACACAGGGACCGTTGCCGGGAACTATTGATGATTTTTGGCGAATGGTTTGGGAGCATGGGGTCATGGTGATTGTGATGCTAACACAATGTAAAGAAGGTAACCGGGTAAGTCTTTATCTTGGGAACTATTTAAATTATCATTGTGATACAATACTGCATGTTTGTAACGTCTGCTCTCATTGGACGATTGTCTATGTTTACATTAATTTATCTTTTATACATGGCTGCTGCGAATTTATGAATGAATTCATATCTAAATCAAAGAAATCAATTAAGTTGTATTATAAGTTCCTTTTAAAAACTGGAAAAGTGCATATGTCCAAGTATAGATTTACTATAATATTATATAACTTTCAGGTTATATAAACAAACAACTATTTATAAAAGGTCATATAACCTGTGTTTAACTAATGATGTATACAACCTTATCGATAAATTATTTAATTTACATATTGTTCTTTCTGCTTTGCTTCTATGGCTTCTTTGACGTTTAGCAGGCAATTGCCCTATCAATTGTAGGGTTGAATTTCAACAGATATGTGGAGACTGAAATGTCACTTATTCATCCGAAAATTCTGTTTTTTGAAATTCTGTATTCTAAGGTAGCACTCTACACTTAATTTCAAGTTCCTGCCGTCAATGTCCTACAAGCAATACATCTAATAATTCTGATGCCAAACTACACAACCTGGAAAAAGAAAACACATTTTGTTGAGAACATAATATATGACATAAGATTGCAAATCTACAAAGAAATTATCCCATCTGCAATAGGCAGGCAGTCAAAAAAGTTGCAATTCATTCCGTTGAAGCCCAAAATCTACAGTGGCCCGAGACCCAAAACAACACATTTCGTCCCTCTGGCAAAAAATATCTGCAAATATACAGGCTAAAGGAACACCGTGTCTGCTTTAACAACTCCCTATACATGCAAAATATCACAAAGAAACAAGTCCTCAACCTTGTCGATTTTTTGCTACTGCTAAAAGTTTGTACCCCCCTGTAAAATGACTTCTTTTTACCGTGCATGCTGTTTAAAAGCAATGTTTACAAAAAATGGCGGCCTTGACATATATAATCAACAGCATGTGATTTCTAGCCATGTTTTCGAATTTGCCAGTGATCATATTAGATGTCACAAAAACAAATTTCATGCTGAAAATGCATTTTTAAGACAACCAGTCATTTAAATCCAGAATATTCACTATATCCAAGAAATCCTCCCTGGCCATCGAAGCTGTGGCTTACATTACTGTGGTGTGCTACCTAACAGGCTTCATTCAACTTCTTTATTAAACAGACCACACATTTAAGTGCATTATTACACTGCACTGACTAAGAAAAGGAATGTTTACATGCCATACAGTGTTGTCAAATTTGACATCAGTAAACCAAATGATAACATGAAAATTACTTCCCTGCTGAATATCGTTTTACTTAATTTTACCAATTCTCTTATTGTTAGCATGTTTAAATGGAAATTGGTATTACTTGATCTTGCCTTTGTGATTATAGCCAACTAGTATATAGTTTATATTTCTATTTATTTTGCTCTCCTCAATTTTTCAGTGGAACATGGAAGGACAGGTTTGTCTGTCTGTCTGTCTGTCTGTCTGTCTGCCATTCTTCTGGCTCACTTTCTTACCATTTCACATAGTTCTTTCTTTTATTGTCTGATCTTTTGTTTATAGATGGATATCCTTATCTTTCGATTATGGATGGATAATTTTGGTATTGGGTAATGAGGTACCTTTCATGGGAGGAGGGATTTTTGTCAACTTGGTCAAGGGTCACTATAGTGTTGATAAAAATATTAAAACCTTGATTTAACCCTTAACTAGCTGATTTTTTTATAATGGACTTGCCCTGCTTTGAATTTGGGACAGTACACTCAAAGTTTAAGGGGTTTCAATAACAAAATACAAAAATTGAGCTGCTAACAGTTTAGACCCTGGCTTTATATGTATTAACACAGAAAAACAAAATATTTAGATTCAGTTTCAGTATGGCCTTCTGATTTATCAATAACAAAAAAGTGATAAATGATAAATTAAGTGTTTACAAAAAATTTAAAAAGTCATTTAAGCAATATTTTAAATACATACTTTTAGAATTATTAAAGTATTTCTTATATTAATCCAACTGACACTCACATTTCTTTAAAGATTATATTAGATTTGTTAATCACAATAATATTAGAATTAACTCATAATAAGATTGTAACATTAATAACAAAAATAACAACAACTACAATATAAAGTGTTTTTTTATGTTTGCATTTTAATAAATTATAATTGCTGTGTGGTTTTTTAATTCACTCTATTAAGTTTTTTTTTTAAAGTTCTAATATTGATGAACCTATTGGCTGGTTTAGTATAAGTTTTGTAGCTCTTGGTTTAAATATAGTTTGTTGATGTTTGAGTGTGTGATGGTAAATGAACATTTACCTCGCAGGACATATTACACCCCCACTCAGCCACCCCCTCTAAAAATGCATTATTGTACATTTATACTTCCCAATTGTTATATCTACGTGAAAAATTCAGCCAATATTAAATGCATTTATACTGAAACATGAAGTTAGATAATTGATAATGAGATATTAGATAATAGATTTTTATTTTGTAATATGATAAGTCATCTGCATACAATGCTATGAGAAGGTCATCACAGAGTATAGACATTGCATTGATATGAATAAAAAGTATAGGTCAAAGAATGGAACCTTGTGAAACTCCCTACTCCTAGTGAAATATGATAGAAATCTATTGTTACAAGTGGCAATGGCATGTTGAAAGATTTGACCTTTACTTTTCTTTATCCTTAAAGGTGAAATGTGAGAAATACTGGCCAGACGAACTGAGGGAACCTAAACAGTACGGAGATGTGGTTGTTAATCCAACCTCTATATCACAACTAGACAAATACAACATCTCAATATTTGATGTCTCTGTGGTAAGTTTTTGCCTATGTACAAAAGAATAAGTTGTCTATTTACAAAAGAAAAAGTCTGTCCATTTTGTTGATGTTTGTTCATGGTACCAATATCGAGAATTGTAATAGTGTAGTGAAAGAACACAACTTTATAGGATCATACCTTTATTGTAATATGTTAATATAACACAAACATGATTAGACTGTTTACCTTAAGTCATGAGTTGTAATTTGAATAAATTTAGATGAGTATTTATGAATCAAATTAAAAACAATATCTTTTTATTTGACAGAATGATGAGACACGTCAAGTGATCCATTTTCACTACTTGGATTTCCCAGATTTCAGTGCGAACGTCGAGTTTGACCATTTCATCAACTTTGTGCGTACAGTTCGTAGTCATGTACCACATGATATGAAAGGACCAATGGTCATTCATTGCAGGTATTTCAAACTTCTGCGATTACATTAATATATATTTAGTATATTAATACATTAAAGATTAGCTTTCCGAAGTTCTTCATTCTCTGTTCTTGGTCATATATTGATGTATTACCGCACATGGTATCATGTTTTTTTTGTTTTTTTTTACAGTTTAATAGTTTATTGTCTCATTCCAAGCATGTCATATATACAATACATCACAAAATTCAATCATATTAAAATACATGTTGGACCAATCTCGATAGATTTATAGGAGACATTTAAAAACATGATGATACTAGTAAAATATATTCTATAACTAAAAACCAATTTACTTTATAACCAAGTTACATGTATATATAACAGACATTTTTGCTTATTCCTTCATGAAAAAAATCAATATACTTCAAAAATAATGCCCAGAATATTTGTGACAATACTACTGCATGGTCATGCAAAATGTTTTGTGAAGCATAATAATTTTCATGTTTTGACCTTTGAAGAAAAGTTTGAGGTAATATTATCACCGAATTTTCATTGTCATTGTGCAAAAAAAAAACTGTACTGTAGCTTGATACTCACACCATTTTAAAGATATCAGTATGAAAATTGGAGTGCTTGCCTATCATGACAAGAGGCAGCTGTGATGACAAGGGGCATAATACTTAAAACTATATTTTTGGTGTTATGCCCCATTTTAACTTTTAAATATTTTAAAAAATTGGTAAATAATAGTAGTTGCCCTTTACAGGTGAGCCTTAACACAGCATGTAGTCCTAAATTTAACCTCTGTAGAGCAACATCTCTCAGCAGCAACCAAAATCTTTCTCTCTCAAAGGGTGGTTGTTCTACAGAGGTTGTACTGTATTTATTTATAAGATTTGGAAGGAGAGAATTTACTGAACAACAATTTTTGTTTATCTTTCAGTGCTGGTGTAGGAAGAACTGGTACATTTATAGCTACAGACAGATTACACTTGTATTTGTCTAGTGATCAGTTTAGTGAGGAAGATGAAGTTGATATATTTGGTATAGTGCTTAGTCTTAGAGAAAATAGAGTAGCCATGGTGCAAACAGAGGTACGTGAAATTCTACAGATAGTGTAATATTGTAACAGAGAAATATTCTAGCATTTACATGATTGTTTACATGAAATTTACAGTCCAAGTATATCATGATTGTTTAGTATATCATGATTGTTTTGTATATTATTACAGTCCCAGTTTATTATGATACATGATTGTTTATATGTAATTACAGTCCCAGTATATCATGATACATGATTGTTTTGTATGTTATTACAGTACCAGTATATCATGATACATGATTGTTTTCTATGTTATTACAGTCCCAGTATATCATGATACATGATTGTTTTGTATGTTATTACAGTCCCAGTATATCATGATACATGATTGTTTATATTTTATAACAGTTTATATCATGATACATGATTGCTTTGTATGTTGATACAGTCCTAGTATATCATGATACATGATTGTTTATATTTTATAACAGTTTATATCATGATACATGATTGCTTTGTATGTTGATACAGTCCTAGTATATCATGATACATGATTGTTTATATTTTATAACAGTTTATATCATGATACATGATTGTTTTGTATGTTATTACAGTCCCAGTATATCATGATACATGATTGTTTATATTTTATAACAGTTTATATCATGATCAGAGCTGCATTACTGGTACTGGTACTGGTACTGCAGTACGTACTGCAGCGATTTTGCAAGTACTGGTACTGATACTGAATTACTCTTACAAAATTTTGCTACTACTGGTACTGGTACTGCATTACTGTCTTAAAAAGTGGTACTGCTACTGCATTACCCAGTACTTTTGGTTTTGATAAAAATTGAAAATAGCATCAATTTTTCTCATAAAATAAAGCTGTAAATTACATTAACTATATTTCATTTTTGTGAAAAAGTAAGTTATCAAATATAAAGATAATTTGCTGCAATATTCCTGTAAATGTTAACATAGTATTCATCATGAAAAGCACCAAAGACTTTAAGTAAAACTTAAATTAAGATAAACAGACTCAATAACTCTTTAACCTAAAATATCCTTATTAATCTTTTTTATTACTTTGTATTTACTAGTAAAAGAGCAAGATAAACACAATTAATTTCTTCTATTCTAAATAATCCCAGTTCAAGTGAAAAAAGTGACATTGTTAGCATAAAAAGTTGTTATTTACTTTGGTATAAATTGAACAGAGGTGCGAAGGTGTAAAAGGCAACAAAAGACTGCTGTGTTTTAAATGAAAGATGTTTGCATTGTATTTAAACAGTTGACTGGTTACTAAACAATTAGATATGACATGAATATAAAATGTATGTTGTAAATATTGTTTGTAAAATGTATGTTAAAACTATAAAGTTTTAAATATGTTATGTTAACTTTAAAGTAAATTATGATTTTATTTATTTGCTGAATAATATTTGCAATTATTTGTTTGACACTGTATTTATTCAAACTTTGATGAATATATAACAGTAATGGTACTGGTACTTAATTCCTTCACCAAAAAAGTACTGGTACTGCAGTACCGAGCTAAAATCTAGTACTGGTACTGGTAATGGTACTGCAAAATTTTCCAAGTACTGGTACTGGTACTTAAGTACTACACCCTTAGTACTGATGCAGCTCTGATCATGATACATGATTGCTTTGTATGTTGATACAGTCCTAGTATATCATGATACATGATTGTTTTGTATGTTATTACAGTCCCAGTATATCATGATACATGATTGTTTTGTATGTTATTACAGTCCCAGTATATCATGATACATGATTGCTTTGTATGTTGATACAGTCCCAGTATATCATGGTACATGATTGTTTTGTATGTTATTACAGTCCCAGTATATCATGATACATGATTGTTTATATTTTATAACAGTTTATATCATGATACATGATTGTTTTATATGTTGATACAGTCCCAGTATATCATGATACATGATTGTTTTGTATGTTATTACAGTACCAGTATATCATGATACATGATTGTTTATATTTTATAACAGTTTATATCATGATACATGATTGTTTTATATGTTGATACAGTCCCAGTATATCATGATACATGATTGTTTTGTATGTTATTACAGTCCTAGTATATCATGATACATGATTGTTTATATTTTATAACAGTTTATATCATGATACATGATTGCTTTGTATGTTGATACAGTCCTAGTATATCATGATACATGATTGTTTATATTTTATAACAGTTTATATCATGATACATGATTGTTTTGTATGTTATTACAGTCCCAGTATATCATGATACATGATTGTTTATATTTTATAACAGTTTATATCATGATACATGATTGTTTTATATGTTGATACAGTCCCAGAATATCATGATACATGATTGTTTTGTATGTTATTACAGTACCAGTATATCATGATACATGATTGTTTTCTATGTTATTACAGTCCCAGTATATCATGATACATGATTGTTTTGTATGTTATTACAGTCCCAGTATATCATGATACATGATTGTTTATATTTTATAACAGTTTATATCATGATACATGATTGTTTTATATGTTGATACAGTCCCAGAATATCATGATACATGATTGTTTTGTATGTTATTACAGTACCAGTATATCATGATACATGATTGTTTTCTATGTTATTACAGTCCCAGTATATCATGATACATGATTGTTTTGTATGTTATTACAGTCCCAGTATATCATGATACATGATTGTTTATATTTTATAACAGTTTATATCATGATACATGATTGTTTTATATGTTGATACAGTCCCAGTATATCATGATACATGATTGTTTATATTTTATAACAGTTTATATCATGATACATGATTGTTTTGTATGTTATTACAGTCCCAGTATATCATGATACATGATTGTTTATATTTTATAACAGTTTATATCATGATACATGATTGTTTTATATGTTGATACAGTCCCAGTATATCATGATACATGATTGTTTTGTATGTTATTACAGTACCAGTATATCATGATACATGATTGTTTTCTATGTTATTACAGTCCCAGTATATCATGATACATGATTGTTTTGTATGTTATTACAGTACCAGTATATCATGATACATGATTGTTTTCTATGTTATTACAGTCCCAGTATATCATGATACATGATTTTTTTGTATGTTATTACAGTCCCAGTATATCATGATACATGATTGTTTATATTTTATAACAGTTTATATCATGATACATGATTGTTTTGTATGTTATTACAGTCCCAGTATATCATGATACATGATTGTTTATATTTTATAACAGTTTATATCATGATACATGATTGTTTTATATGTTGATACAGTCCCAGTATATCATGATACATGATTGTTTTGTATGTTATTACAGTACCAGTATATCATGATACATGATTGTTTTCTATGTTATTACAGTACCAGTATATCATGATACATGATTGTTTTCTATGTTATTACAGTACCAGTATATCATGATACATGATTGTTTTCTATGTTATTACAGTCCCAGTATATCATGATACATGATTGTTTTCTATGTTATTACAGTACCAGTATATCATGATACATGATTGTTTTCTATGTTATTACAGTCCCAGTATATCATGATACATGATTGTTTTATATGTTATTACAGTCCCAGTTTATCATGATACATGATTGTTTTGAGAAAATGTTGGAGGAGAAGAGGGCGGCTCTCAAGATGACAGACTCAGGGGAAAATCTGTACGAGAACCAGGGATTTGGTAACTATGTTTATCTATTCTATACCCTTTAACTTCTGGAACCTAAATTGATTAGCCTTTGCCACTAGTAAAGTTTTCTCAAACTCCTACTTCTCAAACATTCTGTTTCTTTCTTGTTCATCAGTTTCATATTTTGTTCATGAAAGAAAGAGTTTGAAGTTTAAAACTTGAAAAATCTAAGAATAAATTTTGTATTTTAAATGATGGTTAGTTGGATAGTTTCCGGACTTGATCTGTAGGATACTGGCAGAACACTTTGATGTTTGCTGTAAGGTTAAAAGCATCATGTTTTTGTATCTTTTACTTAAAAAAACTACTTTGCATTAAGGCAACACAGTAGGAAAAATTAGTTCAATTTTTGTTACCATTATGTTTCTTTTCCATAGTCTGTGGCTTACATTGTCATATTTCGTCCTTATATTTAATCCTTAGACTTCATAGGGTTACTGAATCTACCCAAGCACCTAGTACAGACCAAGATTTGATAATGTTGTGCACTGTGCACTATTCAGTCAGTGTAAATTTGAAATTTTCCATAAAAAGTGATGAATGGTTTTTACCAGGTTGAATGATGGACAAGTCCATTAAAGATATATAGCATTTCCAAATTACTCCGTCTGCTGTGGATGCAAAGGCTTATCAGTAGGGTTCCAGCATGTGAAAGGAGATGAATAGTTTTTCAAATGAAATTAGTGAAAGAAATTATATATTTAAAGAATGGAGCTTGCAATGAATATCTTTTTAACAGAATGAGGAATGATTTGAAAAGATTTTTTACTAGGCTGCCTCAAATTAAGATTAATTGAAAAATGAAAATGAAGCAAGCGTCTTTTTCCATGACTGTCGAAAATTATGGGTATTGTTCAGTTAGTAAGGCATCTATAAATAGAACTATTTTTCATATCACAGCCCTGTGGGATAGTGGTCAATTCAGCCATTTCTTTGAAGTATATCATGTTTGGAAGCTATATAGCTAGTTAACATTGGGGTTTGGGAGGTGGTGGGGGAGTAGTTCTTCTCCAATCCAGATAGGGACTTGTAATTCATACATATTTGGAAACTTTGTACATGTACTTTGTTTGAGAATAGGTTGTGACTGTGAGGACATATCACATATAATGCATGGAAGAGGCATTTATGTCTCATGCAGTATTACAGCTATGTTACCATTTGATCTAAAACTATGTTGGTGTCACCTAACTAAAATAACTTACAGAAAAAAAATCATGCATTGTAGTATGTTGCCTTCAATTTTTTTTACAGACCAAACCCATCCAGGATCACGTAATTACATTGTCATTGAACTATAGTATTATATCTAGCTATATGTCTTCTTTATATCTAAAACAGTTTTGAAATACTTTTATTTTCTCTTGGAGCTCACTTAAATTATAACATGTTTAAGATGAGTGACTCTGACTGATAAAAATAAGCATGAATTTTTATATGATAAATTGGTAATATATATCAAACTTGTAATGTTAAAACCATACATCGTAGATCTTGTTTCAGTGCCATGTGTTTTTCCTTTGCTTGTTTTCTATGTAAATATACTGAGGGGTTTTCTATGTAAATACACAGAGGGGATTTCTTGTTTCCTCTGTAAATATACAGAGGGGATTTCTTGATTTCTATCCAAATATATTGGGGTATTTCATATTTTCTTTGTTAATATACCCAGGGGTTTTCTTTGTAAATATTCTTGGGGGTTTCTTGTTTTCTGTCCAAATATACAGGGGAATTTCATATTTTCTTTGTAAATAATTACTGAGGGGGACTTCTTGTATTCTATGTAAATATACCAGGGGAAATCTTGTTTTCTGTACAAACATATTGGGGGATTTCATGTTATCTTTGCAAATATACTGGGGGATTTCATATATTCTTTGTAAAATACTGAGTAGATTTCTTATATTTTTATGTAAATATACTGAAGGGATTTCTTACTTCTTGTGTAAATATTCTGAGGGGATTTAATGACTGAGATGTAAGGATACTGGTTTCTAATCATTTTCCCCTTTCTGACATGGATTTGATTCCTCAGAGGGAAGTTAAATACATGGGAATTTCCTAGCAAATTTCTTTCAAAAGTTTTTGATTATATCAAGATGCCCACTGATGCCTGAAATAATGTAAGGGGCTGAGTGGTTAAGACAACTGAATTTCCGCTGAGGGTTTGAATAACACTAAAAATCTTTTAATTCATTTATTGAGGCAGCTCTTTAGCCAGATTACAGAAGGTTGATGGATCTACTAAGATGCACGCCTATGTCTTGATATTATTATGAATAGAAAGGCACTTGAGATTTTCCAAAAAACAGCAAAACTGGACAGTCGATATATAAACCTTACTGAGTCTGTGTGGTTTTAAAACTGAACTAGGCTAAAATAATAGATGAGTGGGCATCATAGATTTTCCTCTTTAACAAAACTAGAAATAAAACTCCTTATGACTTGAGTAGTGTTGATGTGCCATACAAAACAACTTGGTAATGTACCAAAAACATTACTATTAATTTATGCATATAATTTTAAAGAAATTAAAGCAGTTATTACATTTCATCTACTTGAATAGCCAATATTTTTACTCCTTTACATTCTGTTTGTAGCATATATCTCCAGACTGCTCACTGACAAAATCTACAAGTACATATAATTGAACAGTACATGCCAAATAAAAATATTCTTGTTAAATAGATAATTTTATACTATGTTATACCTGACATATATGCATTTCAACTTTTTATGTTATATATCCACGCATCAATTCTGTGGTCTCCATCATTCTTTTCAATCTCTCTGTTTTACATCCCTTAAATAGTTGTTTGTTTTTATACCCCCGAAACGAAGTTTGTGGGGGTATATAGGAGTCACTCAGTGGTCGGTCAGTTGGTCGGTCGGTCGGTAGGTCTAGCCGTCCGTTGCATTTTCCTTGTCTGGAGCATAACTTGAAGACTAATGGTTGGAATTCAATACAACTTTATAAATGGTCAAGCACATTAAGAGGAAGTGCAGTGAACAAGAACCATAACTCCATCTTCACTAATTACAGAGTTATTGCCCTTTGTTACTTTTCTTTGTCCGGAGCATGACTTGAAAACTACTGGTTGGAATTTAATACAACTTCATACAATTGTCAAGCACATTATGTGGAAGTGCAGTGCACAAGAACAATAACACCATTTTGACAAATTAGAGAGTTATTGCCCTTTGATACTTTTCCTTGTCCAGAGCATAACTTTTAAAGTATTGGTTGGAATTCAAAACGACTTCATACAATGGTCAAGCACAATAAGAGGAAGTGCAGATCCATAGTAATTATAGAGTTATTGCCCTTTGTTACTTTTCCATTGCTTTTTTCTTGTCCAGAGCATAACTTTAAAACTACTAGTTGGAATTCAATGCAATTTCATACAATGGTCAAGTATATTGAAAGAAAGCACAGTGCACAGAAACCATAACTCTTTCTTTACTCATTTAAGAGCTTTTGCCCTTTGTTACTTTTTATTGTCCAGTGCATAATTTGAAAATTAATGGTTTGAATTCAAAGAAACTTCATACAATGGTCAAGGGCAGCGAAATGAAGTGCAGTGCACAAGAACCATAACTCTATTTTGAATTTTTACATTTATTGCCCTTTGTTACTTTTTTTGTCCAGTGCATAACTTGAAAACTAGTAGTTGGAATTCAATACAACTTCATACAATGGTCAAATGCAATGAGAGGAAGTGCAGTGTACAATAACCATAACTCCATCTTCAGTATTTGTAGAGTTTTTGCCCTTTGTTCATTTTCCTTGTCAGGTGCATAACTTAAAAAACTAATGTTTAGAAGTCAATGAAACTTCATTCAATGGTCAAGCGCAATGAGAGGAAGTGTAGTGCTCAAGAAGCGTAACTCTTTTTGGACTTATTACAGAGTAATTCAATAAAAATTCATCAATGGTCAACCACATTGAAAGGAAATGCAACATACAAGAACCACAACTATTTCTATTGCCCACAACCATAACTCTATTTCAGTTCTTTTGCAAGGTATTCTGTTACTAGTTACTCCTTCATTTCCGATGCAGTCTTGCGGGGGTATTAATCACATTTAGTGATAGTTCTAGTTTATTTGAGTTTTTTTAAAATCACAACAATAGTTTTCTGATCATTATTGACATTCTTATAAATTATGCTGTTACAAAAATGTTTTACACTTACTTGATGAATTGGCCATCTGTCTCTCTCCTGTTTTTACACGCCCTGAAATATGCACCAGTTTGCCTGTCCGTCAGCCCGTCTGTCAGCAGTTTTGTGTCCAGTCTGTATCTTTTGAATCAATGGAAGGAAATTGAAACTACTTGGCAGACATGTTAACCATAATTAGACAATGTGCATTGTTGTACCTGTTTGTTACATCTGACAGTTACTTCAATCTGTAACGTTTGTCTCTGTCTGTCTGTCTGTCTGTACCTTCAGCAAGTTGTATGCCAATTTACAGCATGACTTGCTTAAACGTAGAATCAAGTTTGAGTTCTTAAGCCATAAACTGCTGTTACATAAATGATAACCATTTACTACCAGTATAGAATTAGGCCAGCCTGAAAATTGGTGCAGTCTAGGCAGGCTCTGAACTGTTGGTGGTTGAATTTCTCTATTTTGATATTGAAATCCACAAACTTAAAATGGATTGCTCCAAATTCTAAGGTGGACAAATCCATATCACAATTGTGCCAAATAAAGCATGTTATGGGTAAATGGGGGCATAAATAGTATATATTTCAAATTTATCAAGATTGCTTTATTAATATGATCCAGTGTCTCAGATATAGCAAGTCATTGTGGTTGCTTGCAATCAAAGTGAATTGTGCTCTCTATTAGTTATCATAGTGCGTCACTAAACCATAAAAATGCAAAACTTTGATAATGTTTTTGTTTAAAGTGACAGTGTGCATATCCAAATGTTAAAATAGTGTGTGTACTGGAAAAGGTCATAATATCTCTAAATTTTGTCATAATCTATTTTAATTCATTATTTATATAAATTACCATTGTAAGTTATCTATACTGTCCATTTGTTAAAGAAGTGTAGGATAATATTTTATCTTAATCATTTGTCATCATCAGTTATTGGCCCTTCCCCATAATAATATTTTATCTTTGAAATATACAGCTAATTAAGCTCAACTTGACAATGTTAAAGCAAACCAAATTAACATTAAAGCTGTTAACCTGATCAAAATAATAGAAAGAGCATTGAAACATAAGGCTTTCTTATTTGTAGTATAAATCAAATATCAGCTTATAGGGTGTTTTGATGCTCTTTCTTTTTTGTATCATAGGCAAAAATAAAAATACTTTCCCTGTCATCAAAATATGTAAACCCCTTAAATAATGTAAGCCATGTATCAGTTTTTTTCCTTTTCCCTGTTGTCACAATAAGTAAACCCCAGAAAAATGTAGCCAATCAAGAAGCATGCTCACAGACAGTGTGGTAACTTGAGTGCGAGTAACTAATACATGCACTCCAGTTAACGCACTGGGTATTTATTGGGTATACGGTTTAACTCTATCACATTTTCAATGAAAACGTCTCCAAACTATGATGCAGGCTTTTTTATTATATGTCAATGTCTATCAGTTATTAATGATCATGGCTATATTGTTCAAGTATATTGATATATAATATGATGTTGAATTTCTTCTATTTTTAGATCCATTTCCAGAGACTTTATATGAGAATGTGTCCTCTCAGGAACAAACAGAACTCTGACCTTTAACAAACAGAACTCTGACCTAATTACGAACAGAACTCTGGATTAGTAATGGTGAATTACAGTGAAACTTTGATGTTTAACTATTAACAAGGACTCAAAGAACTGAGGTGTATAGTTGTAATTAACAATATTTTATAGATACCATGTATCACCTTTCATCTGGAACAAAACTGTTGGTGTACAGATATAACAGTAAATAGATCCTTGACGTACAGTTATTTATACCAACAATCAGAACCAAGTATATCAACATATAGAATTTTGGAGTATATTTATTTATATTAGCAAGTAGAATCTAGTTGTACATTTTCAGTTATTTATACCAGGCAATTGATTCTTGGTGTACATTAATTTATAACAGCAAATAGATATGGTGACTCATTAAGTACACATAACGCGTTGCGTTGTCAAAAGCGACAACACAACCTATATCATTATCACCTTTTCGTCTTGTCGCTAGTGAAACGCGCCAAACGGCACGTTGTCACACTTTCGTCTTGTTGTCCTGTAGCTAGCGAAGCAAGCCAAATGTCGTGTGGCATGATGTCAGCCTGTCGCTTGGCCTATATAGATACAAATAGCCTACAATCCTTAGATTTGAGCCGAGCAACAATGTGACATCGCGACAACATCCCACATGACAACACGCCGTTTAACGTGCATCGTTAGCAACAAGACGAAAGTCCAACAACGCTCCATTTGGCACTTTGTCATGCTTTTGCTAGCGACAACACAATGCACAAAAGTGTTCCATATCAGCCACCATAAATAGAGCCTTGGAGTTAAGGTATTTTTAACAGCAAATGGGTTCAATTTAACTCCGTCAGGGACATCTCGTTGTTTCCTTGAGCAAGAATGTTTACACTCATTGCTCAGTACTGGTTGGTTCCTGGAACGAATTCGAAAGTGAGCCTATAAGCTTACAGCTTCCTACACAATTGAACTTAAATAAATTCTGTATAAACCAACTAATATGCAGAATAATTATGTTTATTAAAAGGCAATTTAATTTAAATTAACCAAAATATAATTGACAAGAATTAAACATTACACCAAACTAGAATTCATTATTACCAGGGCTTTTTTCACAGGAAGGGGCCCTTTCATTAAATTTGGGAGGAAAAAAAACTTGATGTAAATTGAATTTTTGTGGAAAATTGAATGATTTTACAGAATTTTCTGGAGTTGGTGGGGTTGCTGCCCTAATTCTATTCCTGGTGTAAAAGAGTTATTATCTAATCTGATTATGCTGATATAATATGCAAAATGTATGCTTAAAGAATGTGTTAATTTTACATGGAAGAAAATGATAGTTTTCAAGATGCTGCCATGTCAGAAATACGATTGTTCATAGTTTTTTCTACTCACATAAATTCATTTGTTATATTTTTTCTACTGTGTGTAACACTTAGTTATTATGTTTTTTGATTTGACCATCATTTCATATGTTTGTTGATTTTGTCTGCTTTTTGTTGTTTAAATAATTGTTGAACAATTAAATAGTATATTATATATATTTTTGATATATCAAGATGATATTTTAAACCTGTACATATTGTATTTATCTAAATGTAGCAGTACATTCCATTGTTTATATCTTTGGAGATTAAATATTTATTCGCATGTTTAATGTAAAATATGTATTATAAAAGAAAAAGGCATTCTTACATGCCCGAAGACCTTCGGGACGTATGGCATTGTCTGCTTGTTCGTAGACAATAGATTTCCGCATAATAACTTTTGAATTATATTAATAATTTTCAGTTATTGTCTTTAAAATTGGCATTTAAGTATTTTGTATTGAAACACAGGTTAAGGTTGATTTTTGCTGCAATCAATTCATTATTGATAGAGTTATGCCCCTTTTAAAACTTTTGCTACTTGAATTTAGTTTCTGCAGGATAATTTTGTAAAGATATCAGTGATTGTGTTAATGCTTGTCATGCAAGTATGTTATATAAAAGCAAAAGTTAAGTATAATTTTCACTGCAATCAACTTATTATTGAAAGAGTTATGCCCCTTTTCAAGCAGATTCTCTGAAATTATTGAGTTCTGCAGATTAACTTTTGAAGTATTTAAGTGGTTTGATATAATTGATTTTAAACAGTCAAAATTTGTCAGAAAAGTCATCATCTGTGTCGTTTATAACAAAGATTTGTTTTTGTCTATGATACAGTACCTTCTTATAAATTTGCCATTGAGAGTATCTTGCCATGTCTCAGCAAAAGCTCTTGTTTAATATGTTAGACATTCCCTGTAGACATTCCCTGTAGATGTGTTCATTTGTAACATATAAATAAATTGTTACAAATACAGTTTAAAGTAGCATGCCTTCAGATTTTAGCTAAATTTTGAAATGAAAATTTGACGATTGCACTGATTAGTGAAAATGTGCCAGTTAAGTGATAAGTCCTATTCTAAGGTGCTTTCTATCCCAGCAGAGTTATATATCTCATGTCGCAAAATGCCAAAATAACTCTCACTACATTAGTGACACAGTAGAATTTTAATATTAAAAATTCATTCCATCATATTCTGTTTTAAATATTCGAATTTTCTCTTTGATAGTAAATATTAATGCATTTCTTAAACAATATATATCTTTTCTTAAGTTTCTTTTTAAACAATTTAACCATCTGGAGGCATGCCACTTTGAATTGTGTGTTTGTATAATGAATTAAAATAGTGTATAGAGGTCATTAGGATTTTTCAAATCTATAAAAATTCTTTTTAATCATTTGTTGACATATCATTTAGGGTCCAAAAACTTAACACTTGCTCTAATGAGTCTTGCACAGCTTTGAATATGGTAATTCTTTACAGACCATTGTATTCATTATTAAAGATTTCATTATCAAGGACCTAAAAGTGAACAGCCAACAGAATAGTGTCTTTTTATTAGAATGATGTGCAAGCTGGTCTTGCTTACTTTTGATAGGATTCAAAGGGCTGAAATTTATATGATTTCTATTTGATAAAACCATACATATTGATATGGTAGACCAACATATATGCTGTAAAATGTTTTTCTACTTAAAAGTTTGGTATATAGGAACGGCTGTTTTACATGATATGTTTATGATTTGAACAAATTTAGTGAAGTCTACACAGAACAATATGATTATGCTATCTTGTATGGTCTCGATTTTGCCTCCGTTTATTTTTTAGCAAATTAAGATTTGTTTAGGTAAACAAGATAACAATAAAAGATATCTACCTGATCAGTAATATTTACATAATTAATGATAATCCTCGGTAAAATGTGGCAAATTTTTTTCCCCCCAAAAAGGGAAAGGTCCCCGACTTATGAGTGATCTGTCCATTAGCTGAGTAAATGTGTGTTTTTTTGTGTTTTCTGTAAATGCTGGACAATGTATTATTCTGCCTTTTGTTCACTGATTGTAAGTTTTTAGGGTAAAAAATGTTCTCTGTTCACACATATACATGTATGACAAATCTTTTAGGCAACTCACTAGTAAGAGTGACAATGTGTCAGTGTGCAAAAAATGTTATATTTGTCCTTTTGACATAATTTTAAAATGAGCTGCGTCACGACAAAACCAACATAATGCGTTTGCGACCAGCATGGATCCAGACCAGCCTGCGCATCTGCGCAGTCTGATCAAGATCCATGCTGTTCGCTACCATTTTTCCTACTTGTAATAGGGTTTGTAAGTGAACAGCATGGATCCTGTGCGGATGCGCAGGCTGGTCTGGATCCATGCTGGTTGCAAACGCATAACATTGGTTTTGTTGTGACACGGCTCAAATTATTTCACTATATATATATATTTGTAAGTTGGCCAGTCTTGTTTTAATAAGCTTTAAATTTGTTTTGTACTTTATTGTAACAATACCTAACATGATGTTTGACATCCTTCAGTGTTGAAATGTTGTTAATCACAGTTACTTCCCTTAGACTAATATTGGTATTTTACCTGAGAAAAAAAGAATGATATTGGTTATGTGAAAATATTCTAAGACACGCCTTAACCAGAACTGCATCAGGGATTTAAAGTTCAAATTATATATATCTTTTTAGAATAAAGACACTTATGCTGACTTGAATAACAATTAATAAATTAGATTGGTGAATGATGGCAGCTGGCATAAAGTATTTTCTTCTATAGGGAACTCTCAATTTTTCTAAAAGGATTTCAGTTAAACTGAAGGATATAACCTTAACTTTCTTAGTATGAATGCCATGAAATGCTCTCCTGCATTTTGATTGGATATTGTGATTTGATTATTTTTGGCTGACTTGTTGCCCTTTGTTGTTATTGTTGTTGTTTATCACATAATTATTGGCAGAAAAGCATGTTTTGTGACAATTTCCTGCCACTTGTTAGAAATTTAATCAGACTGCAACATTAAGAAATGAAAATATTAATATTAATAACACATTTCTGCACTGGTGCACTAAAGTTTTTTTCTAGAGACTGAATTTTTGATAGTACATGTATGTACATGTATGTAGATTGCACTATCAAGTAAAGATTTGTTATGGTAGATCTTTATTATTGTTTGATGATTTTCCATGGAGTTGAAGTTTTTATTTTTTGTCACGAAGTACAATGCCTTGCTTTTTGTCTGTTTCATCTGACATATCAACATTTTCAGGACCAGAGACAGAATTTGATGTAAGGGAATATCAGTTTAACCCATTACCTCATGAGCATTTAACGAAAAATTGCTGTTTTACAAGTTCAAACTGCTATCAAACTATAAAACATGCTTCAATGCTGATTAAACTTGGCACAAATGTTGACTTGACCATTGCTTTTGTAACAACATGCTCTATCTTAAATTTCCTGTTATCACTAATATTTATTTTGCGTTTATTTCTTTCCATCAAAACTGATCTCAAAGTGCTGCAACTTCTCAATGGAATTGAGATAGAGTCAATTGCTTTTCATTGTTGGTTACACGTTACCTTAAGATCGACCTTAAGCCATTTTAAGCCTCTCACAAGTCCAAAATTTTCTTGGTGAAACAAAACGAAAAAGTAGGGTATTTTTTCACTATTTGAGGCCTCAAAAAGGGGGTTGGTGATGAGCCATCAAAACATGTCTATATGAGCGTGAAGGTTAACAACATCTTTAATCAAGCTTTTTCTCAATGTCACAATTTAAAATTTAGCAGTTTGATTTCTGTCTCTCAGGTGATGTATTTCATTTATAACAGTTTATTAATCCACCTTTCTGTTTCTCCGTCCACTAGTGTGTATTAATTTTCATATCTAGTTCTACTTTGGTCATTTGATTAATTTTTTGTTTTAACAGATATACATCAGGACTTTGCATGTGCTCATTTTATTGACAGCTTTAAAAGTTTTTTTTCTTTGTTTTTTGGATTTCTATTGTTGCTATTGTGTTCATTCTTGCACTTTTGAAAGTTGCATGCCTCTATATGAGTCAAAATATTTTGAGGAAATTAAACATGAGAAAAATGTACTAAGATTTTAAAATAAATAAAAAGATTTAAGAGTCAAGAAATAATTAATGTGTTATGCACGATTAAGGACAGATTTTGTTGTATTTATCACCATATTTCTACTGCATTACTAACACAGTAGGGGCTATTTTTGCTTATTTTGACTTTTTTGTGATAATTAATGAAGATTGCAATGTGTTAATTATTTTCTTTGTTCGCTTCATAAAATTTTACTTTTAAATACATTTTTGAAATTTTCATGAAAATCTGGAGGCATGCTACTTTAAATGGCATGAAGTTACTTAAATGTTATATTGAACTGTCAATTATTGGATTTTGTAACCTAGCTGGACCAATAAAGATATCATAATTGGAGTAGAGTGTAAGTTAATTTATAGAAATGCATGAGATATATTCACCCAAAACATACAGAGAAATTAATACTATATTCGCCCAGAATAATTTCAAAATTGTTAAAATTCTGTAAAAGGTTTATGGGTGAAATTAAGATTAACATTAAATAAATTTTTAAAACTTGATTAACAACAAACAGAAACTGGTTCAGAATCCAGTTAATTGTCCAATGATATATTATTAGTTATAAAGATTTTTGACAAGTTATATGGCCCTATTTAACTGGTTGTTTGGATATATAAACTGAGCCATTAGGCGAGGGTTATATTGAAAACATCTGTCTATATACAGTCATATAACCTGTCGGGAATATTTATAACAAATTTATAATACAGCAAACTTGCTTTTAAGGGAAAAAGTAAGATTTCTTCATAAATTGATAGCAGCCATAGATAAAAAGCTATGTAAACATCACTATTATCCAATGAAAAGAACGTTTCCAGCATGCTTTATTTTGAAAATGAATTACTATTATGTTTGGTTCATTTTGGTTGCAGGTGTAAATAAACACAAAAAATGAATGCACACACTTAAAAAAATAAATACAAAACATAATTAAATCAAGAATATCGTCATTAATGCGGAAACAATCTTCTTAAATGTAGCTGTTTTTTGAAAGAACATTATTTTTGTACTAGTTAGTTTATGTAGTAATATGAATATAAATATTGTCTATCACTGTTAATGAATCATGTTAATATTTTATTTTCTGTATTCAATCAAATTATAAATAAAAAGTTAAATATAATCTGTTGATTCTTTTGTGCTTTTGAATAATGAATTATATATATTTAACTGTACCTTACCTTGTTGAAATATTGTAATGGATTTGCTCCACTTTGAATATGTTAAAGTTTGTTTGTTTATTTAATTAGGTTTTACGTCACACCGACACATTATAGGTCATATGGCGACATTCCAGCTTTACTGGTGAAGGAAGACCTCAGATGCCCTTACGTGCATTATTTCAGGCACAAACGGGCACCTGAGTAGAACCACTGACGTTCCGTAAGCTAGCTGGATAGCTTCCTCACATGAAAGAATCCAAAGTCCCTGTCGGGATTCAAATCCACAGCGGTGAAGGGCAAGTGGTATGAAGTCAACAACCTTAACCACTCAGCTACAGACGCTCCTGAATATTGAAAAGTCTGTTCAAAGCTTAAGGGATTTCAATATAAAAATTTGAAAATTTAGCTAGTCTGATGCGATTAAAGACAGTATGCCGACTGGCCCAACTATACTGGTTGCATAGGCTTAAACACTTAGTTCCAGCAGGTTATGGTGGTGGTGGTGTTGGTAGTTTTGTGAAAACTTTTCACTCCGGATCACAGCAGTAAGCCACATTGAATTTACCAGAGCACAGTTCAGCCACTGCATTGTTGCTGGACTGGCTGTCAAGCAGTTTAATTGTACTAGTTGCCTATACTTTCACAAGGAACTGATTACTTCTGTACATGCAAGAGCAGAGGTGAGTCAAATGACTGTAGAAAGGATTTCATGATCAATCACTATGAAAGTGACCTGCGCCATCCGGAATCGAAGCAGGTTATAGCTGAAATATACTTCATTTAATGAAGAAGCCATCCAGCTTTTCCAGGAAGTTTTCTGAGGGCTGCTGCTTCTGTATGAGTCATTCTAATTCTTAAATAAATACTGGGACATCTTGAGTTGAAAAGTTGTGTCCATTAGAATCAGAATATTTTCAAGAAATTATTTTCTTTTAGATTTAGCGTGTGATGACAGAGTAGATTACCAGACTCCTAATCCAGAGGTTGTGTGTTTGAATCCCATTAGAAATGAGATTCTCTTTTGACTTCATCAATCAACACTATAGGGTGAAGTCATTAATACCATGATTGTTAAGTGCTATGTCTAGGTTGCAAAATAGGGCTTTGACATTAATTAGAAACAAACAAATATGAACTTTGCATCAGTATATAAGAATGGCTATGAAAAAAAGAAATGAAATAAGGGTTAAATCAGATAAATAAGTAGTTATAAAGATTTTTGACAGGTTATAATTATGGCCCTTTAAAGATGCCCTCCTCCAGATAAAGAAAATCAATATTAAGAAAAATGTACTAAAATTTTAAGAAAGGTAAAACATTCAAGGCCCAAGTTATATTTTTCATGTTATGTGCGATTTAAGTCTGATTTGGCAGTATTTTATTACCATTTTTCTACTGCGTTACTATCGCAGTTAGGGCTACTTTTGCATATGTTGAAGACTTTTGGGTAATTTTCTTTAATTGAAAGTGCCGATTGCAATATGGAAATTACTTTATTTGTTCACCTTACAATATTTTATTTTTATGCTCCCCGAAAAATTTTGGGGGAGCATAATTATAGTCGCCGCCTTGTCCGTCCGTTTTGCCGTCCGTCTGTCCGCTTTTCTTGTCCGGGACAACAAGAGGTATCAACATGAAACTTTGTAGGTAGATAGATCTCATAGAGTAGGTGTGCAGTGCACAAGAACCGTAACTGCCTTGCCTAATTTTTGAATTATTCCCCTTTGTTTATTTTTACACTTTGAACTTTGTCTGGGACATAACTCTAAAAGTATAAGAGGTATCAACATGAAACTTTGTAGGTAGATAGATCTTATTGAGTAGGTATGCAGTGCACAAGAACCGTAACTTTGCCTCGCCTAATTTTTTAATTATCTCCCTTTGTTTATTTTTACACTTTGAACTTTGTCCGGGACATAACTCTAAAACTATAAGTGGTATCAACATGAAACTTTGTAGGTAGATATATCTCATTGAGTAGGTGTGCAGTGCACAAGAACCGTAACTCTGCCTTACCTAATTTTTGAATTATTCCCCTTTGTTTATTTTTACACTGAACTTTGTCCAGGACATAACTCTAAAACTATAAGAGGTATCAATATGAAACTTTGTAGGTAGATAGATCTCATTAAGTAGGTTTGCAGTGCACAAGAACTGTAACACTGTCTTGCCTACATTTGGAGTTATTGCCCTTTGTTCATTTTGACACTTTTAACTTTGTCCTTGACATTACTCTAAAATTATAAGAGATATCGACATGAAACTTTGTAGATAGATAGGTCTCATTGGGTAGAAGTGCAGTGCTTAAGAATCATTACTCTGCCTTGCCTTAGTTATTGCCCTTTGTTTATTTTTACTTTTTGACTTTTGTCCGGGACATAACTTTTAAACTATTAGAGATATCAACATGAAACTTTGTAGGTAGCTAGATATCATTGGATAGAACTGCAATGCTTAAAGAACCTAAACAAAGCCTGGTCTTATTTTGGAGTTATTGCCCTTTGTTCATTTTTACACTTTGAATTTTACCCGGGACATAACTCTGAAACTATAAGAGATATCATCAGGAAACTTTATAGATAGCTAGATCTCATTGAGACTGCCTCCGTGGTCGAGGGGTTAGAGTCGATGACACCTCTCTGGCGTGGGTTCGATCCCCGGGAGATGCTTTGGTAGTTTAGCGCGGAGGAAGGTAGTCTAGTACTGGTGTAACTCTCCAGGAAAGATGGTTAGGAAACTACCCGCCTATATGACTGAATTACTGTTGGAAAAAGGCGTAAAATGAAACAAACAAACAAACAGATCTCATTGAATAGAAGTGCAGTGCAAAAAAACATAACTCCGCCTTGCCTAATTTGGAAGTTTTTGCCCTTTGTTCATTTTTTTATACTTTCCTGTGTCCAGAACCTTCTCGGGGAGCATCACCCGGTTCAACTGGTTCTTGTTAAATACATTTACAAAATTTTCATGAAAATTAATATGTATCTGGAGGCGTGCTGCTTTAAAACAGTAGTATACAATATATAAACAAAGTTGCCTGCCTTTTAGAAGGGGAAATTTGAAATTTCTTAGCTGTGTTTTGACAATTTGTAATAATGCCAATAAATTTCTCAAATTCTGACTCTATAAAATGCTGTACATGTATATACTGTGAAGAACCAAAGTACGCACAAATAACAATGTATTTCTATACATAAAAGATGGTTAACTTTGTGTATGTATAAAAAAGTTTTATTGTGTTTTGTTCTTTATTGCATATTTCTCCATTCAAACTTCATTACTGCAAAATAAGAAAGTTACACCACAATGATGACTTTATACTTGAATTACTTCTAGCTTTGCCTTTATAATGTATGTGTGTCTTTTTCCAGAGCTTCCTTGAAAATAGTCTGAAGTTGCTGGCTTTCTTATGAACTTGTCATCATTAACATTTTGCATAAAATATTATTGTAAATTCGTTATACAAGTACTGACAAGATATACAGAGAATATAGCCTTCCTGAAATTTAAATATGACCTTGGGTTGGAACATTCGTTAGGCTAGGGTCTTGGGTAATATTTATCTCATTCAAGCTATATTCTGCCTTATATCTTGTCAGCAATTTGCAAATATGTTGTTTTTATCCAATGAAAAACAACAAACATGCAGTATTATAAAAATAGTATGAAACACTTATTAAGGGTCCAGGGCCAAGTATAAAAGCAAACATTATTTATAGATTATGAACTAATTTATGCTCGCTCATATGGTAATTATTCCAGTGGCGAGGGTAAACAAACCTAAACAAACACAAAATGAACTACAAATGTATTTAATAGTATTTATTTTTGATTTTATCATGTCATTGAATAGATAAAATAAAACATTTTTAAAATACTGTAGATCTATATCAAATCTAAATATCCCTATAACACATAAGGAGCTTGATATAGGGGAAGCAACTTGTTATATGCACTGAACGCAGTGATCTCTCCTTAATTCGTACTGATGAAGGGAAGTAACCGCTGCAAGGAGTTTGTTGTTTAAGACGCTACTGTACATTAGTAGCCTCCCCTTTTAAGTTTCACACCATTTGTATTTCCTAAATTGACGAGAGATGAACATCAAGGATACTGTATACAACAGCACATGTAGGCTACATGTAGAATAATTATAAGGTAAAATTATTTACTTGGTGAGTACCCATTTATGGTTATATAGATCGTACTAGATCCACACATGTTCTATTTTCCACCAAGACCAGACAAATGGGTCATTATGTGCCAGGTTACTGTAGAGTTTTGATTTTTGTGTCGCCTCTACGGAGTAGTGGCGACATATAGGGTAATGTCGTCATATTTCGGACACTTTTTGCATTCTGCGACCAATTTCATTCGTCTAGCTGCGAATATGTATTTAACCGTCTGTAGCCTATTTAGCCGGGAACTATGCTATGTAAGGACTATATACTGGCTCCCAGCTGCAAATTACATGTTTGATTTATTTAGAAAATTCACAAATTGTTAATCGAGTAAAATCGGGGAAATACGGACAGAAGCGGGGAATTTCGGACACATTTTCATTTTTTTAAAAAGTAACATTATCGTCGCCAGAAGAGACTTAAACATATTTTATTTCTTTTTTGACATAATTATGTATCAGTTCATTTCACTTAAGGCACAACATTAAAGTGATTCTTTTTTAACAGTTTCTGTTAAATTTAACAAG